CCTTAATTTTTGTCTAAGGACAAATGCATTTAATTATGATTTTTTTTTAAAGTGTGGCTTGCTCTACAAGGTATTTCTATGTATTCTAAATCTACATTAAAAAGATCTGGCATTAATCAAGATTAAATGAGTAAGGCCTAAAAGAGAATTAGACCCAAAACTAGTTAAGATCTTAAAATATAATAAAGGGAAGACTATTTAACCAGTGAGGGAAGGATGGACTATTGTATTGGGTTGGTCAAGAAAATCTGTATGGTTTTTTGCATAAAAAAAAGACACATTTTCATTTTCACTAATAATTTAATTGATTTGGATATTTTTAGTATATTGGCTATCTCCCACATGGTATAACACTGATTATTCTCAAGTAATGCCTTGGTTTGATCCCTGTCAACTTCAATTGGTCTACCCAACAAAACTTTGAAAACCACTTTTGACGTATTCCATCAGACACAGCACCTTCTTCATACACTGCACAAATCTTGTTCTGCATTTCAGTTGGGTTTTTACATTTCTTGAAATAATAAAGCATAATATGATGAAAATGTTGCATATTTTCTTCCATCTTCAATGTTAAAATGGCTATATAAAAATACACCAATTTTGATAAGTTTTTTAAATGCATGCTGATATGACAGCTGTCACAATACAACCTAACAAAATTGTTTGGAATGATGTTAAAGACAACCACACACTACTAGAGCCACCTTACGGACAAAATCAAATGAACTTTTTGGTCAGCCCAATATTTAACAAAGTGTGCTGGTAGAATTGGCTAGTTGGGGAGGAGAAAGTGGTATAAGACAATACATATCTATACACTAGTACAGTTTTAAAGGTAAAAACCTAATATATTTCCAAAATTTTGTTTCATTTTCTTCATCTCTGGACTTTCCAAACATAAATGCTCATGAGGAAAAATCATAATGATATAAATCAAGATATAGAGCTGTCTATATAAAAATGAAAATATTTTGTTGTTTAAAAAATATCAAAAAGACAAATTATGACAGGGTGGTGGAGGGGATCCCACAAATATGCTAAAGGCACAATACTCTTTATGTAAAACAGGTATTTAAAATCATTACTAAAAATCAGCAAGAGTAAAATGGGCAAAGTACCTATAAAAACTTCTTACAAGGTAAATAAAAAGCTAATTACTAAATTCACTAGCTACCAAAAAATATAAATTAAGACCACATTTTTACAGAAAATCAGGTAAGATTTTAACACTGGAATGCTGAATCATGGGAAGGCCATTCTGTGCTTAAGGGAATCAGTTTGTCTAGGCATAAGCAAATTGGCAACATGTCTCAAGAGTCATAAAAAACTTCACCTCTGCCTAAGGAATTCTCTTTTAATCTAACCCAAAGAGGTCAGACATACTGAGACTTTTACAGGAGGGCATTTATCCCAGCTCTGCCTGCATGTCCTTAACTCTCTGAGCCTACTTCCTTTGCCAGACTGTTGAGGACCCTCCTTTATTTGATCCATTCCATCTCTACAAAACTCTACCCTGCATTGCAGCAACTGTTATTACCCTCCTTGTTCTACACAATCATGAAGAAATGCAGGGGGGAAAAATAGGTAATTAAGATCATTTAGATTGGAAGTAGCCAAGCTAGGATTTGCAATTAGTGTTTAACACTATATGCCCAACTACTAAAAATGGAAATATGTGCAATAGAAAACAAGTTAAACTTGGCATATTTAGCATTCAAAATTTGTTTTTCCAAGGAAGATTTAAGAGCATAGGAAATTTGTGGTATCTGAAGTGAAAGGGCAATATTTAAAACCACTGATGAAATTAAAATGCCAATTTTATTTTAAAAATATGTGCAGACAAATAAAAAAGGACAAATGGAAGAACTTCATCCCATGAGCAGTTGTTTATTTCTGGAGTTTTATTTTTTAATCTTTTTTTTTTGTAATTCTGAGAAATGTCTACAACAAGGATAATAGCTTTTTATTTTTAAATGTTTAAAAATCATAGAAACAGTAGAAATTCTTAACTGTAGCTGCTTAGCAGGCCTCGAGTTTTAAACAATGAAAACAGAAAAGATTAGGTGAGAGATTACTATTTTAGCAACATGGCAGACTGTTGAACTACAAGGTCCATCAAATAATTATATTATCTCCATAATTATATTCTCAGAGTGAAATAGGAAACTTTACCTTACAGAACTTGTTTGATACTCCAATTAACTGAAATTTAACTAACACATAAAACAAGAAATATTAGGGAGAGAAAAACCTCTTGAATACCCAATACATGTTCCAAATCACTGGACTAAAAGCATTTTGGAATTCACTGATTGAATTCACAGTAGTTAGAAATGTTTCAAAAAACAAAAAGCCTGAGACAAGTGACATACTTCTATACTATTCTGTTCAGAACAGTTTTAACAATTCCTAGCAAGGCAAACTGGAATTCAATGACTACCAAATACCTGCTTTGAGCATAAAAGAATTAAAATTTTTAAAAAGTATCTTTGTTTGGATGTGTATGCTTGGGAAAGAGTGGACCTTTTTGTAGACAAAACTGTGCCTTTCCTTTGTTACTTTAAAGTGTAAAGTTACAAGTTGTTTAACATTTTGTAAAGAATCATGGCAAAGTACTTTCTAGGAACAAATAACTTAAAAACTGATACTGATATTTCTTTTTGGCCAGAAATTATCAAATGTTTTTTGCATGGCTGTAGGATTATACCTTTTTTAAGGTTTTAGAACTTTAGAGAAATGATGAAACAATTGTTAGGTTTGTGTACCACAGACAAAAGCTTTTTTTCCAATTGTTTCCATTTCATTTTGGAACTTTGTTAAACAAGTTTTCAGAGCAAAGACTGGGGGAAAAACGAATATTCAGGAAAGAACAATATAACCACCAGCAGTATCACCTCATACAAGAGCATTTTAAATAACTTTGTAATTACTTAGCAAGAAAAACTGGAACTATATGAGCTCACCCTTACCGGTGCTCAGCCCATGAACTGAAAACGGTAATTCAAAAATCTTCAGAAAAGGTAGTCCTATTCAGAAACCCTATGATACGGACACGCCCACTCTCCCTGGAGAACTGGTTGCTAGGGGAACCCGCAATAACCCTTTAGAGTCAGCGCTTTTTGGGCGTGGAGGGTCCTCTCAGGCGCTGGGATGGTTAAAACAGGAGAGTGGGAGGAGAGAGAAGGGAAAAGGGGAGGGAGAGAGAAGGTTAAAAGACGACGAAATCCTTTGGCTGTGGAAAGGGCCAGAGAAAGTGGGTTTAGTAATCCCAACAGAAATTCAAAACGCCAGTTAGAACAATGTTCTGGACGCTGTAGTCATATTGTAGTTAAGCTGAAGTTTAAAACAGACACTTCCCTCCGTCCCCAGTGGGAAACAAACCCCCTTTGTGAGTTCTGTCTATGGAAAATGAAGCTGTAGAGCACATCTCACCGACTACAAACTAAACGGTACTTTTGTAAAACTAAAATTTTGACTTTCTTACAATAAACCTGTGGTTTCCAAACTCTACAATATTCAGGAGTCACCTACGGGTCTTTAAAATAAAATATATACTGAGTTTTAATTGAACTGGGGTGTGACTTGAGCATAGTTTTAAAACTCCCCAGTGATTCTCTTGTGCAGGCAATATCGGGAACTCCTGTATTTCAGGATTTGGCGAAATGGCTGAGAGTATTTTTAAAAAGAAAAGAAAGCACAATTATCTCCCTTTGTCTTTTTAAGGTTAATAATAGAATTAGCTGGCTTTTGCCAAGCACACACAGGACAATAGGTTGCTTCATAAATAGGAATCCCCAGGACGCCCTAACAATACTTTCTTTGAGATAAAATGACCGGGCAGTTTAAGTCTTTTCTTCCCAAGAAAACGAACATCCTTCTAACTAAAACACCAAACTCATATCTCTATTTGAACAGCGAATGCATGTTTTTTAATGACGCCAAGAACCTGGTATAGAACCTAGCTCCAGGACTAGGACACTGAGCCCCCAGTATCCCACCATCATTCGCGCGGGTCCTGTGACGACCAGGGCAGGGTGTCGGTCCCTGGAGCTCCCTCAATAAAGTTACTTGAGGGAAGTTTGCTCACATTTCCTCTCCCGGAGAGGGGCCCTGCCCCCGCCACCTGCTCGGCGCCAAGGTCCCGGCCGCGCCTCCTCGCTGGACCTCCGCCATCTCCGGGGGTCGCGCACTCCGCGGGCGCCCGTCAGGCCAGCTAGAGCCCCTAGGGTTCGCGCCTTTCCTCCCCTAGAGTACCTGGGCTGCAGCTGGCCCAATCCCTGGGGCTGGGGCCCGCGCGAGTCCGGCACCGTCCCGCCTGAAACCTCAAAGAAAGCACGCCTACGCGGCCAAAACCTCTAAAGCCCGGGCATCGTTTCCAGACATCCCTGCATCCCGGGTCTCTACACCGGCCGCGGCAGCCAGTCCCGGTCCAACCGCGCTCTGCCCCTCCGACCCGCAGCCGGGAGCGCGCCCCTGGACGGACAGTCTGGAGCTGCGCACGCGCGGAAGCACCCGCCCGCTCGCTTTCTGCCGCCTGACTCACCGCCTGCTGTCTTGTTCCCCTCGGGTACCGCCGCCGCTTGCGCTGCGCCCCGCTAGCCGCTCCGACCGGTGCCCACTCCTGAGGCCCGGGACCGGGCACTCGGGAATCCAGCGCCCGGCGGGCTTGGCGGGCACTCGCACGTAGAGCACGCTCCGCGGGGTCTCGCGCGCGCGCTCCCAAGTGCTAGCAGGGGGCGGGGCCATGCGCGCGGTGTTCCCGAAGGCTGCTTTGGACAGGGATGCAGGGCATGCGCACTGCCTGAGCCTTCTGGGGTCTTGTAGAATGGGTGGTGATTCTGGGTCAGTTTAACGCAGTGAAATAAAAGAGCGCCAGGGGTCCTGCCTCCCTGAAAGGCTAGCTTGCACTTGTCCCACTAACTGAAGTTTCTAATCTGGTTCATTCATTAATAAATGTGTTAAACATTTACTGGACATGTACTTTGGCAGACCTGTGTGCAGGATACAGGGCACACTCTGATATTGACGAACAGATTATATTTGGGTTGGGGATTCCACTTCCCGAAGTGATTCCAGCCTTCCCTGAGCACAGGTAAGGAGAGTGTATTGAGATCACCGCGTACCTGAAACTGCAAACCTAACTACACTCTTAAGCAGTTGAGGAAGGGGTGAAGAGAAAAATATTCTTGAGAAGTCTGGAAAAATAAGGGCTAGAGTCAGAAGATTAGTTCACCTGGCAAGGAAGGTGAATACAAAGGCGTAAGTTGCAGAAATAAAATAAAATATATGAGCTCATGAACCGAGTTGGGAACAAGTTTAACCTGAGCATATCGTTCGTAGGAAATGGCACAAATGACGACTGGAAAGATAGTTGAAGCTCATCTGTAAGTAATTTTTAATATCAAAAGTTTTGCCTTTCTTCACTGGCTAATTGGAGAAATACTGAATTTGGGTAGGGAGGGGTTGGTGGTGGTCTGATTAAATACAGTATTTAGGAATATAAAGGCTAGAGACATGAAATACTGTAGTGCAGGGGTATCAAACTCATTTTCACCAGGGGCCACATCAGCCTTGCCTTTGCCTTCAAAGGCCAAATGAAATTTCAACTCCTTAACAGTTAAAGAGTAGTTACATTTATACAGTCCTAGAATTACTTTCGGCCCTTCGAAGGCAACCACGAGGCTGATGTGGCCCCTGGTGAAAATGAATTTGGCACCCCAGCTATAGTGTATACTCTAGGTTTCGAAATATAAGTGTTGGCACCAGGAATGGAAAGTATGGAAAAGTTTTCAGTGATTGTGAAGGACAGTAGGATTCTGTAGCTTTAAGAGAGACACCTATTTCTTGGTCATCATCCTTGGTAAATATTTATTAGTGGATAAATTAGACCACTAAAATATACAGCTACCATCACTAAATCGTTCTTTTAATGTGAATTTGGCCCTGGAATAACTTATTTCTAATCAATCAAAATACTTAATTTGAGAAGCAGTATATATATAGTGAAAAAGACACATGGGCTTTGGAAGGCAGAAACCCCTTTTATAAAGTCCAGATGCTCCAAAATAAATGTTTGATATTGTGCAAATTAGTATCTCTGAGCCTTACTGTACTCATTTATAGCATGGGATCATATATACCTTGTTGATAGTTAATTTTATGTGTCAATTTGGCCAGCCACACTACTGAGTTATTTGGTGAGACATATTCTCTAGGTTTTATTGTGAAGGTAGTTTTTTAAAGGTGACATTAACATTTAAATCAATGCAACGGAGATTGCATTGGGTTGCTAACGGAGAAACACTGATCTACCATTGATAGGGAACTCAAGAATTGGAAAATTTTAGTTCAGGTAGTAACTAATAAGCTTGGTAATCAATGTGTGTTCCAGGAACTGAGGATACGACTCACCTTGACTCCAGGAGACCATATAAATAGTTCCACCTCAGTGCCTCAGGTGAACACAAGCAATCAAGATAGTATCTGAGTAGTATCTGTATAGTATCTACTATCTATCTACTACTATCTGTATAGTAGTATCTGATAGTATCTTACTCCAGAGTAAGACATCCACCTCCCAGGACACAGATAAAAGAATGCTGCAGCTTTTATCTGATTAACTTTTTCCTTGAATTCCAAACCCCTTACCTACACTTTTCTTCTCCTTGTAAAAAGGGTCAGTTTAAAATGGAATTTAAGACAGTCTAATAGGGTACATAACTCAGATCGCAGGCCATCTGAATAAAGCACCATAAAGATTCAGTCCCCCTCTCTGTATATTGGTTATGGTAGGGACAGGCAGCACCAATGCTGGCTTTTCCAGTTTCACTAGGAACAAAAAGAATTCGGACAACAGGATGCTTCTGGACTTGAACAGCAACTCTTCCCTGGTTCTCTAGCCTTCCAGCCCACCCTTCAAATTTTGAACTTACTAGCCTCCATAATCACATGAGTCAAATACTTAAGTATCTTTTCTCTGTATAAAAATGGATGGATAGATGTTGCTCTGGAGAATGCTAATATACATTGCAAGGTTATAAAGATTACATAATTAATTATCAACTGAATCTGAGAAATGGGGATTATAATCTTTAACTTATAAGGTTATAAAAAATTAAATAAAAGTGGGTAAAGCACTCAACACATAACAGGGTCTGAATAAATGGCAGCCACTTTATTATGTGTGAACCAATGCCAAAGGCAAAAACAAAGAGGAGATAGTAGCACTATGAAAGCATTTTTTTTGGTTTGCTCGGTCATAACATTAAATTAAAAAAACAGATTTAAGAGAGCAAAGTGTTGATCTCCTTGCTCTGATATGATCAAAAGGTAAGAACATGAATATTTTAATTATTTGAAAATATATGCCAAATGAGCCATTAAATAAATAGAGATTTCTAGCTATACTCTTAAACACCAAACATGCAAAACAGAGCTAGGTATTCATATCTGAGCATTTTATTACAATGTAAGTACAATTCAATTCACTCTACTTGTTACTAGGAAGGAGAAACCTAGGAAAAGTCTACTTTTGAAGTGATTCCCCCTCTCAGAGTAGGTGCATGATATAGCACTCAAAGTGTTTATTGAATTCATCCTGGGGCATGCCTATAGCTATTGGGAACATAAAAATGGGTAAAATATTCCATTTAATTTATAAATATTGCCATTTATTATGTCCTAAGCAATATCCCTGTCCTCAGGGAACTTATCATATAGCTTAGAAAAATGAATGACCATAACTACAATTTAAGGCAGGATAAATAATTGGACCAATTGTATCTTGTTTAGGAAGGTGGTGATGGGGGCTCACTCTTTCCAATCCTGCCTCCATTGTTGCCCCAGCTTTGCGGTTTGGTAAAGTGCAAATGGTGGAACAGAACAGCATCTTTTAAATATGTTTTGAGCAAAGTTGATAAATATCAGTTAAAATAACGCTTTCATTCCACTAACTCACTTGCTTTAGAGTAGATAAGATATACTAAGAAAGGGGCAAGAGAGGCATTTACAACCCACTGAGATGTAAAACCTCCTTTACTCTTTGTTTTCTCTTTATTGTCTTGACTGTTTTGTTGTTGTTGTTTTGCGACTTTATAGTTTAAAAAAAAAACTGAGATAAAGTCCCCTGACATAATGGATATTTATGAGGAAAATACAGAAAAACTAACATGGACATAACAAAAGGCAGGGGTTTGGGTTTAAAAAAGGAACAGGAACAATTTAGTTGGAAACCATGAACCAGGTGGACAAAAATGACTATCATGTTCCTTCTGTAACCAGTGTTGTCATAGTGTGACCTTTTTCATTTTGGCTGAGAATGAAATATTCCATCAAGGGTGAGAGTAAACCAACTCCGGATTGACAAGTGATTTGGGGAAAATACACAGCATTTTAGTAATCTTTAAATAATCAGGATATTATTCTGAAAATTTGTGAAGATACTCATTTCAGGAGCTTTGGCACAGTGAGTGGGAAATATATTAACCTGAGATTAAAGGAAACCCTATATCAGAATAGGAAGGTTTTAATTAAAACAAAAGGATTGGCTTCCAGCTATGGATGTTAATTACCATCTGATGAATAATAATAGTGATAATAGGAGATGTGAAATAAGTTAAAATATGTCCTGGGCCAGATTTTTTTTAAAATATTACAAACACTGGAATAGTGCCTTGTAAATTTAACCAATGTACTAGCATTAAATGCTTTTAAAATTAGACTTACAACACAGTTAGCTTTACGCTATTCATATGCAGCATTCTCCTTTCCATGATTTTTTATTAATGCTGTTCAAAATAATTCAACCTGAACAGTAAGTAACAGAAGTAGAACACTGCCCACTCCTTAAAGAAAATAGCAATATATATGTTCCTTATTACAAGAATATATATGATCAGGAAAAATGAAAATTTAATGAGATGTTTAGCAGACACAACATTGCTTATTTTCTTTATAGGTGCTAACTCCCTCCCCCCTTTAATATTTTATCCCACTGACAAAATGTGATTTACACAAATTTTCAATAAGCTGACTTTTGCATATTTCAGTTATACCTGTAATTTTAAAAATATTTTATTTATTTATTTTTAGAGAGAGGGAAAGGAAAGGAGAGAGAGGGAAACATCAATGTGTGGTTGCCTCTCATGTAACCCCCACTGGGGCTCTGGCCTGAAACCCAGGCATGAGCCCTGACTGGGAATCAAACCAGTGACGGTTTGATTTACAGGCCTGAGCTCAGCTCCCTGAGCTATACCAGCCAGGGCAATACCTGTAATTTTGAATCCTAAATAAACTTTATATCAGTATGACATTTAAAGTAAGAAATAGAATATAATCATAAAATTAAGTGCATATGCTATTTTGCATATGAAATGACAAAAATAGCACAACAAACCCAAAATTGGGTTACAGAGTGTTTTTTCTTTAAAAATGAACTTCCTACAGAACATTACATCCAATTTTCCAGAATGTGAATACATACTTCATTAAGCAAGGTTTTGTGACATCACATAATATTAAAATAATTATTTACATACCTTATATTCTAGTTTAGTGGAACAGTGCTATCTAATAGAAAGAAATGTTAGCCACAAATACAAGGAACATACATACTTTTAAATTTTCTAGTAGTCACATTAAGAAGCAAAACAAAACAGGTGAAATTAACAAAGTGATGCATTTTATTTAATCCAAATATCCAAAATATTATTGTACCATGTAATATACATATAAATTATTAATGGCATTTAACATTTGTTTTAATACTACTTCTTCTAAATCTGATGTGTAGTTTTCACCTACAGCTCATCTCAATTTGGACTGTTCAAATATAAAATGGCCATCATACGGTGGCTCAATTGGTTGGGTGTCCTCCTGCAAAGAGAAAGGTCACTGGTTCCATTCCTGGTCAGGGCACATTCTTGGGTTGTGGGTTTGTTCTCTGGATGGGGCATGTACAAAAGGCAACTGACCAATGTTTCTCTCTCTCATCGATGATTCCGTCTCTTTCCCTCTCCTTTTTCTTTCTAAAAATAAATAAAATCTTTAAAAATAATAAAAACATAAAATGGCTATATCATACTGGACAGCACAGATCTAGGACTAGGTCATTAGCTCTCAAACTTGGCTGCATATGGGAATCACCTCAGAAACATGAAGAAAAAATTGATGCCTAAGTCATGATCCCATGATTCCTGTGCATTTGCTCTGGGGTGTCACCTGGATATTGGAATTTTTTTTTAACTCTTCGGGTAATTCCAATATTTAGCAAAGTTTGAAAATCACTAGTCTCACTTATTTTTATTTTTTAAAACTTTTTAAAAACTTTTTTTAAAAAGTTTGTCAAAACTTTATTATGAAATGAGTGGCAGTTGTTTTTTATTTG